TTCTGCCTCCAGGTTCCTGCCCTGAGTTCCTACCATGGGCTCCCTGATGAACTGTGACCCCCCCCCCCCAAAAAAAAAGATCAGCTCTCCCTCAACCAGCAATAATCAGTTGCCTGTAGTTCCTTGGCTAAGGTTGGGGCCTGCTGCCCATTTCCCCAGTTCTGTGCTGGGGACACTGCTTTTTCAATTTTCTTTTGCCTTGAAACAAAAGACCAATTAGAAAAGGACTTCTGACAGTTTCAAAGTTCTAAGACTCTCTAATTTAGTTCTAATTTACCCATATAAGGAAGTTGAGGCATAATTACAGTAAGAATGTAATTTTCCCCCATTACAAATCCAGTTTAATCCCATTGATTAACAAGCTAGTCACTTGACTATTAAGCTGAAAGATTTTTTTTTTGGTCTTTTTGAGACAGGGTCTCCCTGTAGTCCCAGCTGGCCTGGAACTCACTGTGTAGACCAGGCTGCCCTTGAACTCACAGAGATCTGCCTGCCTCTGCCTCCTGAGTGCTGGAATTAAAGGCTTGTGCTACCACTGGCACAATGAGTGCTTCCTTGAGAGGATACCATCATTCACATGTTCTGTGAGATGATTTGCCTCTTTTGCATGAAGTATTTCAAACATCTTGGGCAGTATGGGCCAGATTTTAATGACGAATAACCCATCAGAATTTTTTTTTTCTTTTTCCAAAAAGGACCTCAAAGTTGAATAGGGTTATGGAGTTAGATACTAACTTTGATGGCATCAAATGTTTCATGAGTAGAAGTGGTATTTCAATTCAATGTTACTTAAGTACTTGATTGCCATGGTGTTCAAGACTTAGTCTTGACCTGAGTAGATCATTGTAAAACATTTTTAGCAGCATTGCTTCTATTTTAGAAGTCATTTCCTAATTTGGCCCACTATAGTTGAGTGCGTTTGGATTCCCTCTCATCCTTTGTACAGCCTTTTCCTTCTTCCTGCTTGTACGAAGTGTGCTGGGACTGATTTTGCACATGTAGCAGGACTTATACATTCTAATGAATGTTATTTTCTTCAAAACATTCACCTAGGAAACAGTGTACCTTTGCTTTAGAATTATCTTAAAGCTTTTTAGGCATATCATTTTGAAGATAGTTTATAGAAGCAAACATTTTCCTTGCATTAAAATTAATGTTTGGAAGAAATCTGATATTACTTGGAGACAGTTATAGTGAGTTACTTATACTGGGGTAAGATGTACAGGTATCGTACTGGTCTTTTTAAAATTCTTGCATGGCCTCCCTATTTCTCATTGAATAGAGCCCAAACTCAGTAAGTTCTGTACTGCCAAGTGCTTTCAGGCTTTCTCTGTCTCTGTTGAACTTTGAATGCTTCTTTGAAGGTTTTCTGCTTTCTTATATCTGTCCTAAGTCTCCTTTATATCTGACTTGAAATCTATCCCTCATGATGTACTGCCTCCTAGCCAGCAACTCTTCAGGTCTCAGGAAGCCTTTCCTGGCCCACATACAAAATTTGGCTGATGATACATGCTACTGTCAAATCTTTTTTCCCCCACTTTTTAAAGTTGAGCTTTTTAAATTTCATACATTTCCCACTCAAATACAGACCCCCTCTCCTATCCATGCCTTCCCCCATACCCCCACCAAACTCTATGCACTATGCCATAGACGCTGAGTCCTATTCATTCAGGTGTTTGTACCCAAATATCCTTCAGTGTAAATGTGTCCACTAGAGCCTAGTCAGCCCATCCAGTGGTCATATGTAAGTCACACTCTCCCTCACCCGGCAGCAACCAGTCTCAAATAGTTCTCAATCTTGTGCTGGCCAGCCACCTATTTCTCAACTCCCCTTTGGGCCCTTGTTTATTGAGCTGACATGGGTTCCACACTCACATGAGCAAGCCTCCAGTGGCCTGGAGGCTTCCACTCCTCTGTGTTCATGAACCGGCTCTGGCTCTTATAATCTTTCTGCCTCCTTTTCCGCAGTGGTCCTTGAGCCATGAGTGGGTGAGGTTCCGTATAGGAGTCCCATCCTACACGCTACAGTCTCTTATTTTCCAAAACTTGGCTAGTTGTGGGCCTTCTGTGTGTAACACACTCTGATGTACATGGAGGTCTCACTGGTGAGAGTTGAGGGGTGCTTTAGCCCTCTCTCTACCCCTTATTCCGCTATGTTCCATGAGCCTTAGTTGGAGATATTCGACTATAGTTGTGTCACCTAGTACTGGGTATCTCCCAGGCATATGTTCTCTGTGCCTGTCCAGATGTGCAACTCTGCAGTGGCCTCCATCTGTTGCAAAAAGAAGCTTCTTTGATGAGTGCTGTATGGCATGCTTGTCACTCTAAGGGAGGTCTCTTCTATTTGGCACTGCATTCCCTATCAAGCAGCTCCCAGGTATACATATGCATTAATGTCCGAACACTCTGTGTGCATTTCTCATAGGTTTTCTAGGGCATCACTTTTCCCTCTAGATTTCCTAGTCCCCTGAGAGTCACTCATCTCCACTCTTTTCTCCTATCCAGCCTCCCTCCTCCCTCCCTGATCACAATGCTCCCATTAAGGTGCCTATTATACTTAATTGTAAAGGAAAGTTTGGTTGTACATGTCACATTGACTCGCCCACCACTCTTCCCAGTGCTGAACATGGCTCCTAGCCATACAGAGCTCTTTGTTGGTGTTTACTTAGGTAATGAAACATGACTTTAAAGTTATAAATCATATCTCATTGTAGTATAGTGTCTAAAATGACAGGCATAATTAGGTGTTCAGATATTTTCAGATATTTATTGCTGTAGGACTATTTAATCTTGGGGAGCCTGTTTCCACATACACAAAATTAAGATTAAAAAAAGTAGCTTGGGCAGGGGTTATAGCATAGAGTATTTGCCTAGGATGTGCAAGGATCTGGGATTGAGGCCTACAATCACAAAAAGTAAAACTAAAAATAGAAACATCTTCCAAAGTAAATATTAAATGAAATAGTGTATTATAAAGTATCAGTTGAATAATTGAAATACTATTTTTTTAAAAAGAACTTAAGGTATTCTAATTAAACTGGCTCCAAGGCAGTTATAAGAAAGATAAAAATTGGGGCTATTGGCTGCTCTTGCAGAGGACTCTGGTTTGGCAGCTAACAACTGTCTGTAACTCCAGTTCCAGGGATCTGAGCACCCTCTTCTCACCTCTGAGTGCATTGCACAACATGGGTACACTTGTATACATGTAGACAACACACTCATACACATAAAATAGTACTACTAATAAAAAATTTTAAAAGATAAAAATTATTGTCAGCATCTTTGAGTGTAAAAATTAGTGTCAGCATCTTTTAGAGTGTAATTTCTCTGATTTTTCTAAAAGTTCCTCCTGTATAGTTTTATCTTATAATTGTATACAAGATATACTGTTATGAAACATATGAAAACTATGTAAAATTTAATAAAGGAGAAATTAAGGTCACATTTGTATATTTTGTTCTAAAATATAATAGCCTAGTACTAGTACCAGTCATGGTGGTGCATCCCTTTAAACCCAGAACTCAGGAGGCTGGGGCAGGAAGATCACACGTTCAAGGCCAGCCTAGGCTATATAGTGAGAACCTCCCCTGATACCCCCAAAATATTATCACCACCAACATAAAAACTCTATGGGAGTAAAGAATTTTTTAAAGATTTTTTATTCATGTTTATTTTATGAGTGCTTTGCCTGAATGTATGTAAGTGTATTGTGTGTGTGCCTAGTGCCCATGGAGACAGGAAGAAGGCATGAGATCCCTTTGAACTGGAGTTAGGACAGGTGTTAACTGCCATGTGGGTGCTGGGAATTGAAACCAGGTCTTCTGGAAGAACAGTGAATACTCTTAACCACTGAACCATCTCACCAGCCCAGAGCAGAGATTTTAATGAATAAAGTTTTAGTTTACAAAGTAGGTAAGTACAGAATGGCTAAGCAGATGCAAAGAGCACTGAAATGGGACAGAGTATGGTATTGGTATGGCTGATTCCCACCAGGCAGCAGTGACTTTATAAAATCCATTTGATGCAATCATTAGGCTGAGGTAAAAATAATAAGTGAGAAATAGGATTGCTCAGAAAATTTCTTGACTAGAGTTTTATTAATTTTATTAGTAAGAATTAGTGCTGATGATTACAATTAAGTAGCTGGTAAATGCAAATTTATTCCATCCAAGTATGTACCAAAATTTTGAAAGCTGAGTTTTCTGAGCTTGGAGATGATTTTTTACATAACACAATATAATGATACTGATATATGAAAGCAAATCTCTGCAGGAGATATTTTAAATATTTTAAATTATTCTGATAACACATGTAGACATTTAGACTGAAGAAATTCTAAATCATGAGTTAACCTGAATTAGTTGAAATCCTGTAAACAAAGCATTTTCATGGTTGACATTAACCAAAGTTGTTAGTGATTTTTTTTTTCCTCCCCAATTTGACAACTTCTATTTCATAGAAATTAGGCTAGCATTTTGGTGAATGCCCATAATCTTAACACTTAGCAGGCTGAGGCAGGAGAATTGTGAGTTTGAGGTGAGTTTGGATTAGTGAGAACCTGTCTGAGGAAGGCAAGCAAAAACTGAGAAAAAAGTAGCAGATTGTAGAAATTTGACTATTTTCTTATGAGATATGATTATAATTATCCAAATTACTAATATCTGTCAAAGTTCCTTGAATATGATATAAAGCCCAACTATTTTGTCCTGATTGCTTTGGAAAGATTATATTATGACAAAAAGGTTCTAGAGGCACAAATAGCAGTTATTATTTTGACTAAGCCTTATTCAGCATTCATCAGCACTAATCCAGAGGGGAGGGAGAAAGTCATGCTTGAAGATGTAGAACATTATAACGGTAGGAAGACCTCTTCCCCACTCATTTTTGAAAGATTATCATTTTCAAGTCTAGGTCTGTATTTCCTGAATCTAGAAGTTCAGATAAGAAATACTGAACTTTGACTAATGTGTAGCTTTGTTGTCAACTTGATAAATTCTTAGTTTCAGATACACCACCTCCACCACCACCTGTGGAAGACCCAGTCTTTGATGAATCCCCCCCTCCACCGCCTCCTCCAGAAGATTATGAGGAGGAAGAAGCAGCTGTGGTTGAATACAGTGACCCTTATGCTGAAGAGGACCCACCATGGGCTCCAAGATCTTACTTGGAAAAGGGTAAGATTCAGAAGAGAACTGGAAGGATAGAAAGACACCATATATAGAAATTAAATTTGCTGGCACTGAAGAGAATCTTGTTTATTTTTTACTTATAACTAAAGTTTTATTTATTTGTATGGTCTGTTCAATTTTGGTAATTTAGTTTACAAGGTTTATGATTTTGAAATTCTGCTAATGAAATTTTATGGTTTTCTGTTCCTGTTGCGCTTTGCTTTTCACAAATTATTTCTGTAACACAAAAATCACTGAATGGGCTTTTCTTTTTTCCTTTGGAATTCTCAGGAACAGGATTGTTTTTCTAAATTCTTTCTTTACATCCCTATGTGTTCATCCATCATCATCATCATCATGATGACTATTATTTTTTTCTTGTTCTTTTGAGACAGGATCTTACTATGTAGCCCAGGCTAGCCTCAAAATCCTGAGCCTCCTACCACATGTTGGGATTACAGGTGTGTACCACCATGCTTTAGATTATTAATTTTATAGAATTATTTTTATCATATGTTTCAGTTTGAATATCTCCATAGCGAACTTTCTTCCAAAGATTGGTTTCTCATTCTCTCTGCATAGTGGTATTTTTTCTTTTTTTTTAAGTGGAACATCTCTGTTACCTACCCACGACATAGCACCTTGGGACACAGCTTCCAAGTCTCCTCTAGACTAATCAGCTCAGCTGGATATGGCGGGTCATACGTGTAATCACAGCACTTGGGAGGTTGAGACAAGATGATTGCTTTCAGTTTGAGGGAAGACTGAGCTACATAGTCCAGGCCAGCTTGGGCTGCAGACATCCTTAAAAACAACAAGAACAAGAACAACAACAACAACAAACAGTACTAACCAGCTCAGGGGGAAAATGTGTTGATCTGGATGGAAGGAAATTTTCTGTTAAGGAAATCAAAGCTACTACCCCACTTCGACTCAAAATTTGACTTACACATTTGGCCAAGATAGAGCAACAGTGATCAGGTTTACTTTCTTCTCAAAACAGGAACTGGAAAAAAAAAAAGAAAAGCAGTGGTTTTCAGACACTGAACAATAGGCAGGGGTGGCAGAGTTTGACTCCCAAACAGAAGGGAATCCAATCTTTTCTAATATGTTTTATGAATGCCACACATTATTAGGAAGGTAATAGAAAATGAACATGACAGAGAAGCAGAATGTATTTTGAGGTGGGGGTTGATTGAACTTCTGGAAATGAAAAATGCAGTATCTAAAATGCCATTGCAGAAGGGATCAATAGCCTTGACACTGAAATAGAAATATCCAAAATGAGGCCCAGAGAATAAAGAAAAATTTAAAAAGCAAAAACAAGCCAGTAGATATATAGGGCCTGGTGTGTGTGTGTGTGTGTGTGTGTGTGTGTGTGTGTGTGTGTGTGTGTGAGAGAGAGAGAGAGAGAGAAAGAGAGAGAGAGAGAGAGAGAGAGAGAGAGAATATACTTGAGGTCTCTAGGAAAGCTCAAAAGTTGAAATAAAAAAAAAAGATGTGGAGCTAAAAGCAAGTAGATATATAAGGGGTGGTGTGTGTGGGTGTGTGTGTGTGTGAGAGAGAGAGAGAGAGAGAGAGAGAATATACTTGAGGTCTCTAGGAAAGCTCAAAAGTTGAAATAAAAAAAAAAAGATGTGGAGCTATCATGGTTGAATAGTTGATGGTGATATATTTAGTTATCTATTGCTATCTAACAAATAAGTCCAGATTTTACTGGTTTAAACAAAAGTTCTTCTCTTCCCACTTGTTTGGATGGCCTAGGTAGGCCCTGTAGCCCTGTTTCACATGGACATGCAGTTCAGGTATGGGCTCAGGCTTACAATTATTATAAGACTTGAGTGGGGAAGAATTTGCTCTCAAGCTTATTTCCTCATGGGTTATAGCCGGAAGGCATTATTTTTCTTCATAGCCAGAGGCAGCCTGTTATGGGGCTATGTGGGTCTCTCTGTAGGGGCAACTCACAGCATGGTGGCTTTCCTCATTAGAATGAGGTAAGGAGAGCCAGAGAAAGTGTATGCACAAGACATAAGTTTTTGTTGTTGCTTTTTGACCTAATCTCAGAAGTAATACCCTGTCATTTTTGCCATATTCACTATTTTGTGGGTTTTTCTTGATATGTTTATATTTGTATGTATTGTGTTAATGTATATGGGTTTGTGGGTGCACATATGTGCATATGGAAGCCAGAAGTCAAACTTGGATGTTATTCCTTAGGAGCTGTTCATCTTATTTTATGACAGTGTCTCTCTGGGACTGGGACTCACTGATGGCGGCTATCCAGGCTGGCTAGCAAGCCATGTAGATCCACCTGTCTCCACCTTCCCAGTGCAGGTTGTAAGCATGTGTCACCAATCCAGACTTTACTACAAGTGCTGAGGATTAAACTTGAGTCTTCATACTTGTGCGGCAAGCACTATTTGGACTGAGCTCTCTTGCCAGTCCTCAGGTTCCATTTATTAAAGCAAGTCAGCAGGTTTAGCAAAAAGCATGCATTTGGGAGTGGGGATCCCCAAAAGGCACAAATGCCACAGCAGGAATCATTGGGAGCTATTTGGAAGTTGTCCACCATAAAAACTATAAATCCAGAGAACTGAGAAATCCAGTAAACCCCAGACAGAAGAGACAAAGAAAACCATGCCAAAACACGGCATAATTAAGTCACTAGAGAAGATTGCAGAGACACTTAGAGGAGAACTGACCCATTATAGAAGAGCAGAGACAGGAGTGTCTGCGTAGTTTTCATGTAAGTCAGAGGTAGAGCATCTTTAAAGTAATGAAGGAAAATGTCATTCTAAAGTTCTTTAACAAAAGTGTCCTTTTTAAAGACCTTTACAGACCAAATGAAGGGAAAGGGCTAAGACTTTGTGACTAGCAGAGATACGTTAAGAAATTTTAAAGGGCACTTTTCCAGGTAGAAGAAAAGTGATACCAGATGAAATCTCGGTTTATTAAAAAAAAAAAAAAAAAGAATGAAGAGTAAATGTAAGTCTAAAGACATTTTCTGTCTGTAGTTGCTCTTGCAGACCAGAAAAGGGTGTCAGTCCCATAGTTCTAGAGTTACAGGTGGTTTTGAAACATTTGACTCAGGTTCTGGAAACCAAACTTGGGTTCTCTGGATGAGCAGCACACACTCTTAATGATGGAGCCATTTCTCTAGCCCCAACAAATATACTTTTATAACATGTATATATTACCCATGAAGGAGTATACTCTTTGGCGGTACAGTGATAGATATGTATTTAAATATATGTGTGTGAATATGCAAGTAATGTAAACTTTAGAATTAAGCGGTAAAATCAAAGAAGATGAAGAAGTTTAGATTATATGCAAGTAGGAAACAAAAATAAAAATAGTCCAAAAGACTCAGGAAGGGACTAGATATGGCTCAGTGGTTAAGAGCACTGTCTGTTCTTGCAGAGGACCTGGGATTTGTTCCCAGCACCTACATGGTGGCTAATAACTGTCTATAACTCCAGCCCCAGGGGATCTAAGGCCCTCTTCTGACCTCTGAGGGCATTGGATGACATGAGTGCACTTACATACATGCAGGCAATGTACTCATATACACAAAATAAAATACTTTTTTTAAAAATGAGAGTCAGGAAGAAAAAGAACTCGAGATAAATAGAATCTTTAAAAAAAAAATCTCGGCGTGTGTGTGTGTGTGTGTGTGTGTGTGTGTGTGTGTGTGTGTGTGTCTGCCTGCCTGCCTGCCTGCCTGCCTGCCTGTCTGTCTGTCTGTCTGTCTGTCTGTCTGTCGTGTTTTCATTTGAGTCATGGCATGCATATGGAAGTTAGAGGACACCTTCGGTGTCAGCCTCACCTTCCCTCTTGCTTGAGACAGGATCTCTTTGCCACTACGTCCTCCAGGATAGTGACCTGAGAGCTTCTGTGGGTGCTCCTTTCTCCTCCTTCCATTTTGGTGTAGAAACACTAGGATCGCAGCATGCCTGCTTTGTGTGGGTTCTGGGGGTTCGAACTCAGGTCCCTACACTTGTGTGATAGATAAGTACTTTATCCACTGAACCATCTCTCCAGCCCAGACAAACAGGATTTTGATAACAAGATTGTAGTTTGAAATACAGCATACTACACTTTCACTGAAGGTAAAATGTTTAAAGACGCTCCATTAAAAAACAGAATTTGAGAGATTGCTAAAAAGATTCAGCCGGGCATGGTGGCGCACGCCTGTAGTCCCAGCACTTGGGACTGAGTGCAGGCGGATCTCTGTGAGTTCAAGGCCAGCCTAGTCTACATAGTGAGTTCCAGGACAGCTGGGGCTACAAGGAGACGCTGTCTCAAAAAGACCAAAAAAAAAAAAAGATTCAAATGTTTTTTATATAAATAATAATAATATATATATAGTATAAGAAACCCATTTTAAGACACTTCTGAATAAAAATTAAAGGAATATAAAAGAAGGCTGTGTTAGCTGTATTATTATCAAAGATTTGAAAGTATAGAATATCATATACAATAAAGAGGCAGTTCTTAAATATTTTTATTTTTTATTTTATGTATATGCATGTATTGTAGGTAAGTGCATCTGTGTCATGCAATGCCTGCGAAAGTTAGAAGAGGCTGTCGGATCCCCTGGCACTGGAGTTATGGACAGTTGTTGTGGGTGCTAGGATTTGAACCCTGGTCTTCTGCAAGAACAGTCAGTGTTCTTAACTGCTGAGCCATCTCTCCAGCCTCAAGTGAGGCATCTTAAGGATAACTGAATTTTTCATTACAAAGGATTTAACAGTTCCTTGTCTATGTACTTAATAATAGATCCCTAGAAAGAAAAGTAAAGAAAAATCCTGAAAGGAAAAATGCAAATCATAGTTTTAGTTCAACAATGGAACTGTAAGTCAGTAAGGATCTTGAATTACGTGAACAGTATTACTTATCATCACCCTCTTTGAGATTATGGGACATTTTATCAAGTACCTGCAGAATGTACATTCTTTTAAAATATGTGAATGCACTAAAAATCGTATTTGGGGTCATAAAAAGAA